TATATATATATATATATATATATATATATATATATATATATATNTNTNTNTNTNTNTNTTTTNTTTTTTTTTTTTTTTTTTTTTTTTTTTGCTTTATTGTAATAATAATTGTCGCGCTTTTTTATTTGTTTGCGTTCTGTTTTGCCTTTCTTCGTGGTCAGCGCCATAGAAAAGGGGAGAGTGGAAGTGGAATGCATGCTCCGCAATATGAGGTGCCGGCGCCGGCTGGTTTTTTTTCTTTCGGTTTTCCGACTGTCTGTTACTACTAGTTGGATTGGTGGCGGTTTACCTGGCGGTGAAGCTGGAGTACCAGGTTGACCTGTTAAGCGCCGTGTGGACTGTGTACTTGAGGCCCAATTACGACGATGATCTTTGACTGCTGTTGACGGGGTGGGCTCTACACGCGTTTGCGTGAGTCTGACTTTCCCTTTGTATACTTTCGTTACATTTCTGCCTTGAGCGGCAGCAACGGCTGTAATACTCGTCTGTCGCTTGAGACGAGAGTCTTGTGCAGTTGATACTAACCGGCACATTTTTTTATTCTTCTTTTATTGCTTGCTCTCTTCTTTTTTTCTACCTGCGATTGTTTTTTTTTTTTTTTTTGTATGGGGACTCGTTCATGTGATTGTTCATCGGCTTTGTTTTTTATCTGTCTTTGCTGTTATATTGTGCATAAACATGTTTCGTTCTGCTTTTCTGGAGTGAACACTTCCCTGTGTGTCTGTGCTGTTTTCCTCACCTAGCGTTGATTACAAGCTTTATCAAGGGCCCATTTTTCTACTCCAGTAAAACCATGGGCCTGACTTTGCGCTCCACTGCTGCACTGTTTTTTGTGCTGTGCACTTTTCCGATTGTCCATGGGAGACTGGACAAAATTCAGTTGCCCCTTTCTGTTGCCTCACAGATGAGTGGCGAGTGGGGCGTGCAGGCGCATTCACCGTGCAATCCGTCTATTGTCTCAGGCACGCTCACCTGGGAGGGTGAAAAAATGACGATGCACTGGCAGCATGACACATTTTTGGGTCCTCAACTGGAGTCCGCTACAGATGAAGGAGATATTGTGATGCATGCCGGCGGGTTACATGCGTTCAACACCCGTACACAGGAATTGGCGACGCTGCTCTACGCCATCTGTGGAGTGGGGCAAACAAATACGCTGATCACACCGCATCGTCCTGGGCTTGAGAACAATATGGACACGACCGTTCTCACGGAGTACACGGGAGTTCTTCTCAAAAATTCTGTGGATGCGTTGAATACGTGCCAAATGACAGCACCAAACGTGTTTATTCGTCTGCTTGGAAGTGGTCTCCACGGACTTCAAAGTAACCACGGGAAGGTGAAGGAATCGCTGCAATTTCTTGAAATGCAATTCGATGTGGCTAATATGACGCGACACTGTATGGAAGTGAGGGATAGAACTGAGGGCGAACGGGGGTCCGTAAAAACAACCAGGAGAGGCAAGAAAAACAGAAAACATCGACTGGGCAGCGCTAAAGGAACACACGGCGAACACAGGAGCATCACGGACCAAAGTGCTGAGGAGGGATCTATCGTTCTCCGGTTTGTGCGCCGAACGCCAAAGTCCAAGTAAGGGCTAGGTGTGTCATGACGCGACTTGTCCTCTGCTGAAGCATGTGGAAGGAAATGGAGCCTTGCGGCGTTGTGCTGCATTGTGTCTCGAGTCTTACTTCTTATCATGCGTCAGAAGGCTTGCAGTAGAGACTTTGGCCCTTTATATAATTATTTACGTGTGTTTCTTTGTAGGAAATGAACTTTTTTTTATTTTTATTTTTTCTTGTGGTATTCTACATTATAAACGTGTCCCCGTCGCGGATGCGAAGATAGAATGTAAATACTGAGCTGTATTTTTTTTTTTTTTGTTTGCTTCTCTTTCTTCGTTCTTCTCGCTAGGCCTTAATTATCAGATTCGCAACGACAAAAGGGCAGGGATGCCATCCGAAGCAGGCGAGGAAAGCTGGGTTGTATATTTGATAGAGCAAGGCTGGATCCCATTGTTTATCATGGGAGTGATGCTGCTTGGACTTCGGCTGTACAATGTGCGTCAGCGTGAGGAACAGCGGGTGTTGTTGCGCGAAGGACTCATGTCGGAGATTGCGTATCGGAACGCCCTGAAAAAACATCACTTGTCTGACTGAGTGTATGCTTTCATCTGCATTTGTGTGCATGGATTTGAGAGGGGTAACAGGAACAGTGTTGCCTACAGGTGCCTGTGTGTGGTGGTGGTGGCAGTGATGCTGCCAGGCCTGCAGCCGTAGTTGCGTTACTGTCTTCTTCGCATTGTACGTGCGTGGTGTGTAATTGTTTTTTTGATATTCTTTTTTGCTTTTGTAGCTACACCAAAGACAATAACGAGGTGGGAGCTCACTGGTAGGCTCTCCTACGCGCGGGGGATGATTTCTCTGCGGCGCGAATGTGCTTTGCTCTTCTTTACCCTGCTACGTGTCTCGCATTCTCCGATCTGGGGTGCAAAAAAAGAAACGAAGCAAAGAAAAAGAAAGTGTAGGAAGGAGGGAGGGAGGGAGGGAGGGGTAAGTAACTAATGTCCCTAGACGCTCCGGATACACAACACCTTGCTGTTCTTGGCCTATCAACAAACAGTGAAAAGAACGCTCTTGATAAACTGATCACCGGCGCAACACGCTTTCCTTCCACAGGGTTTGATGATGAGGGTGACGGAAGTGACTTTCATGGTAATTCGGGGCCACGACCTTTGCCTGCGGCCCACGCATGTCCAGCAAAGGAAAGAGGGAACGAATCGAAATGTTTAAAGCAGGCAAAGGTGTTGGCTGCGGAGGTGAAACAAACCAAGACAAAGTCGGGAAGGACCGTTAAGTCACAAACTCCTTGTGATCACGCTCCACATTCTGTTGTTTCTTCGTTAAGGCACAAAAATGTGCTGCTCGCTTCGTCACCCTCGGTGACGTTTCAGGCAGATAGGACGTGGAAGGATGTTGAATCGCTACCCCCCTTGGGTGAGCTTGTGCATAGCAAGTTGCTACGGCCCCTAACTGAGTGCCTCCACATAACGTCCCTAACCCGCATTCAAAAACTGAGTTGGATGCCCATGATTGACAGAACACGCGATGTTCTTGTCCGGAGCGAAACTGGGAGTGGAAAGACACTGGCGTATGCTCTTCCGCTTCTGCATCAATTGTTGTGTGCATGCGATAAGCGGCCCATTCAGCGTCAGGTTGGGACGATTATTATTGTGCTTTGCCCCACTCGAGAGCTGGTGGTGCAGGTCACCGATGTGCTCAGCGTTCTCACTCGGTGTGCACTTTTTCTAACTGTGGGTGGTATTCATGGTGGTGAGAATCGGCATAAGGAAAAGGCGCGGCTGCGCAAAGGCATTCCTGTTTTGATAGCGACACCCGGTAGGCTCCTTGATCACCTAAAGGCGACCGCATCATTCCGTGTTGAGGAGCTTCAGACAATCATCCTTGATGAGGCTGATCGATTATTGGATATGGGATTTGAACATACTATAAAAGAGATTATGGGGATGCTTTTGGAACGGACAGAGAACGTAACTAGCTCTTGTGTCGTGGGTTCGAACGAGGTGCAGGAAAAATATTCACTAAAACGCGTCTTGGTATCGGCAACGATAACGGCTGGAGTGGAGAGACTATCCCATTTTGCGCTTCGAAGCAACGTCCTTCGTGTAGGAGAGACTGAGGATGCCTTTTTCATTCCCTCCTCACTTCGCCAGCACTATGCCTTGGTACCGATCAAGCATCGACTCTCAACACTTATAAGTTTTTTGCGTTCTCAATTTGACGCCGGCGCACAAAGAATCCTCGTTTTTGTCTCCACTGCTGATAGCGCAGAGTTTCATTACTATTTGTTGTCACGGTTACGATCCCCGTTTTACGGCAAGAGAAAAACCTTCCAGGGTAACGCTGCAGCTGAACAGCGTACTCGTCACTACAGCATGAAGCGGCGAATGGAAGAGGCTAACAGACATCTTCGAGACCATCATGAGGATGTTGTCACGTTTGAGGATGACTCAAGCAGTGAGGAGGAGAATGATGCGGGGCGGGCCCTCTCGGAGAGTAACACGCTTCTTGATGTCAATATTTTCAAGTTACATGGTAATATGCCACAGGTTGACCGGGCCTCTGTTTTTAGGGCCTTCAAGCACGTAGATGCAACTGCCCAGCGTTCTCCAAAGGGTGTGCTACTCTGCACTGATGTGGCTGCCAGAGGATTGGATATGCCGCGGGTGGACTGGATTGTACACTACGATCCCCCAACGGATCCAGCATGTTATGTTCACCGTATTGGGCGCACCGCTCGCATTGGCAACGTTGGAGACTCTCTGCTGTTTCTCATGCCACATGAGGCAGGATACGTCCCATATTTGAGCAACTTTATCACCAAGGAGGGCGGGGGTTCTCTTGCTGCAAATGACGCGTCGCTGCCAGCAATGGCAGAACGAAAATATGAGTCGTTTTTGTATTATTTGACAAAGCTCGACCCCAAGGCGAACCATATGTGGGTGCAAAGTACGGCGACCCTCGAGCGCGCCATCAGTCGGGCTGTCATGAAACGAGATGGAACCGTAAGCGATTTATCAGCTGGGGATGAGAGCCGGAGAGAAGATCTCACGCGCCTAGCGCTGTTTGCGTACCAGTCCTACATCCGGGCGTACACAGGGCGCTCCAGAGAACTTAAAGCCCGCTTTTTTAATTCGGATGTCCTCCACCTTGGCCATGTTGCACAGAGCTTTGGCCTTGACAAGAAGCCCAGTGAGGTCCGGGCGCAACTTCAGAGCTTTATCAGGGAAGACAGGAAGATCGCGAGAGAGGCATCTTCCCTCACCACACAGGAGGAGGGAAAGTGGAGCGATAGCTTTCCAAGTCGGAGAAGACTGCAGGTGGAGGTACGTCATGACGATCGCTACCGAAGTATGGTTGTGCAGAAGCAGCGCAAGGTGACGCGTGATTGGTTTGAGCGGAAGAGAAACGAGAGGCCGGCACACAAAGCCCTTCAATTCACGGAATTTGACGCGTAATGGTGTTGAAATGGGGGAATCGAAATGGGGTTAATACAGGGTGAAGAGTGAAGTTACACACAAACGCCACACGGAACCAAAATGCATTCCCGTTGTTTGTCAATAGTAGTCATTGTTCACATTATTACCATGCTTTGTGGGATGGACTTTTGTGTGTCACCCATGACGGTTTGTGGCGCGTGCATCGACCCCCATTATTTTTCATCATAATTATTGTTCAACACAAAACATGTCCTGCATTATTATTTATTTTTTTTGTTATTGTGTTGATAGTAGGGAGCCAAGAAACCATGACAACATACCGGGACTTCAAGCTTACGGATATCATGGGCTTCAACTTTGTCAATCTCGATCAGTTAACGGAGACCTACAGCACCGCGTTTTATGGTGAGTACGTCACGCACTGGCCCGAGTATCAACGCATGTGTCTTCACCCAACGACAGGCATTTGCATGGCGTACACACTTGGCAAGGCGGAGGGAAAGGGCGAGGACTTCCACGGGCACGTATCTGCAGTCACAGTCGCACCAACGTTTCGTCGTCTGGGTTTGGGGGAGGCGCTCATGACGGAGCTTGAAATCACAACATCCTGCCTTCATAACGCGTACTTTGTGGACTTGTTTGTGCGGCAAAGCAATAAAGTTGCTCGTGACATGTACCAGAAACTGGGTTACATTGTCTACCGACGCGTGCTTGGCTACTACCGAGGTGACGGCCCCAAAGGGATATTTAAGGAGGATGAAGATGCGCTAGACATGCGCAAGGCCATGCCGCGTGACAGGGAGAGAGGAAGGAGCAGTGTTATTCCTGTTGATAGGCCCATCAAACCCGAAGAGTTGGAGTGGAACTAACACGGAAAGCTATGTGAGTCTGTAAGTGCGTGTGGGTGCATTGCCCAACGTTTTTTTTTTTACCGTCAACGCCGTTGAAAATTCACTGAGTCTGATATATCGTCTTGCTCGGACTAGGGAAAATTATTTTTGGGGCAACACTTTTTGTTTGCAGCATAAAGAAGGCGAGAGAACAAAAAAAAAGAGAGGTATGCTGATAAATTCATAGTCGCCCCAGTAGAATGCCAAGCTGACGCTCAAAAGACTGTGAAGCTCCTATCCAACATTGGGAAGGACGCAGCACATTGGAAAGATGGTTTCTGATTCAAAAACGCTGTTATGCAATGCACACTGCATGTGGGCCCTTTGACTGGAGATATGCAGCGGAACGAGGTGAGGAAATCATTGTTGAAGGCATCACAACCACTGTACGGTCTTTGTGGGAAGGGGATGGGTGGTGTTATTCGGTCTCCTCTTTGGTATGCAGTGATGCGCCAATTCCGTGTGCACGGAAGCCCACGGTAGTGAAGTTGGATGTTGTTTGTGCGTGGAGTGCCGTTGCGGGTGTTTGGCCCATCTACTATGTGATTTTCACGATGCACCATTACTCTGCGACTGCGCACGGCACCGTCTGCTGTGGCGCTGCGGCACTGGGCGAACGTTTCCAAACTAGCGCTTGCGGTGGCCACTGCAGTGATGCCGAGTTGCACGGGACGAGCACACACTCAAGAGGTGAAACTTTTTGCCACGGCTCCACCTGTGCCTTTAAGCTGAAAGCTGACACGCCCCTCGTCCTTCTTTTTTTTTCTGTTCTTTTGGCGAGTGACGGCTGCCGATGCTGTCACTTTGCTGCCCCACACGCCGTCACACATACGCACACACCCTTTTTTCTGCGATGAGGACGAAACGTCGTCATGGGCACGTGGTGGGGCTGCGTCTTTGTTTGGCGGTGACCCTCCGCAGTCATCGTGATGTTTCCCGCCTATGCCGCACGATGTTTTGGGTGAAGGTTCATGGGTGGCGCTGGAAAGGGAGTAATGGACAGAGTGGCCTGCCTTCGAGCAGTGTGGATGCTCTGCCTTCAGCGGAGTGTAAAGTAAATATGGCGGTGATTTGCCGTCGTGTGGGATTGGGGGTGCCTCTGCGTGTCTGTGCGTGAGGTGTGCGCCGCGTGCCGTGTGTGTGGCCTTTTCTTTGTTTTTTTGTTGTGGCTGCGTAGGGTCGTGTTTGTGCATGTTTTTGGCTTTTTTTTTCATTCTCCCCTTTT